GTTAAATATTTTTAAAAGCAACAAAAACTATAAGTCATAATATTTGCCTGAAAGAGCTGAACGTTTTGATATTTAAACAGCTAAAATAGCAGATTTAGTTTGATTGTAAATCACACAGAAGAGAATAAACAGAAAATCTGTGTGAATGCTGACTCAGCGTTTTCTGGCACCGTGTTTACAGGTGACCTCAGCGGAACAGAAGGCCCCGCAGGTCTCAGCGACTGTCACTTTAGATCCTGGTGTTCCTGAAGGACCCATGGCTCTCAGGCTTTAACGAGGCCTGTCCATCAATATTAGACGGTCGGGTCTTATTAACCCCTCAGAAGGCCTCGGATCGATACTCGGAGGACATCACTCAGGTCCTGGAAGTGGGTCACTATGACACTCCGGTCCTGTAAATAATCTCAGGCTGCTGATGCAATCACTGGAGGCCGTCACACTCCTGACACGAGCGTTAAGAATCTGTTACCTGCACAGAGTGTGGTTCCGGGTCTGGATCTGCACCTGCAGGGTCAGAGTGAATCTGGTGCTGATTGTTGCAGATGAGTTGTTGTTGTCGGGTTTCACAGAAACCAGGTGCTGGTACACACACTGAAAACAACAAACACAACGTTAATCATTTCTTTTCTCATACCATTACTACAAACATAATGAAGCTAGCTCTTTTAGCTTTTAGCTTGCCTTTTAGTACATTTAAGCTTTAGCTACAATTCTGATACTTTGAGCCATTAGTTCCTCTTTCAATAGTTTTGGGTATCGGCTAACGTTTTGATAGTTCTGGTTTGTAGCTAGTATTTGACTCCTTTTAGCTTATCTGTTGCTGCTTTTAGCTAGCATTTTGCTACTCTTAACGAACATTTAGCTTCTTTTAACTAAATTATTGCTCAMTGAAAATAAAGTTTTGCTCCTTTTAGCTTTTAGGAAACATTTTACTTTTTTAACTAATGTTTTACTCTCTTTAGCTAGCATATTCCTCCTTTTAGCTAATGCTTTGCTCTTACTAACTAGTTTATAGCTCCATTAAGATAATACTTTGCCTTTTTTGATTAGCATTTTGCTTTTTCGCTTTTTTGTTGCYTTTAGCTTACTTTATTTTCTTTAACCAATATTTAATTAGGCAAATCCCATTGAAGTTTAGCTAGCATTAAATGCTAGGTTTAGCTAGCATTTAATGCTAGGTAAAAGTAACAAAATTTGTTACTTTTACCTATAATTTTGTTCTTTTTAGCCAACATTTAGCACCTGTTAGCTATAATTTAGCACCTTTTAACAAATATTTTGTTGTTTTTAGCCAACATTTAGCTCCTTTTAAGTAATGTTTTGTTATTTTTAGCTTTAAACAAATGTTCTGCCTCTTCAGTTTCAGCTCTGAGCATTAACGCTCATCTAATCGTCGACAGACTGAATGAATCTTTCCGGTTGTGTCTTGCAGACGGAGGAAGYGTCTCACCTTGTAGCAGAAATCTGTTGTGTAGAAAACCTGCACCTCTTCGTTCAGCTGGTTGTGAAACGTGAGCAGAGCCTGGTCCATTTTCAGAGCAGGTCCTGCAAAGATCCAGAGCAGATCTGGTTTATGGACTGAACACAAGTCCTTTAGTGCGTCGTAAACAAAAGATAATTGAAGGGTGGAGGAGCTGGTCCTGATCCYGGTCCAGATCCAGATTGACTCATTAAATACTTACTGACTCACTAAAGCTGTACTTTAACTACTAATTTATTTATTTACATTTTCMCACAGAAAATCATTAAAATCTCTTCAGTTCCTTCAATAATTACTTGTTTGAACTTCTTTGTTTTACAGCAGCCCAGATTCAACTGTCGGCCCGGGGGCCACATCCGGCCCACAGGTGAGCTCAGTCCGCCCATGAGTTCATTTAAAATAAACTAATTTTAAAACTGGAAAAAAAGTTTTAAATCATAACATAAATTTACCCAACATGGTGTCCGACCCCTGAGCTAATTCTGGCGTCTGAATGTTTTTAGCTAAACAGCCCTGGCGTATTGGTTCTATTTTATCATCTTCTGCTACTTTTAGTTTTTAGCTAGTCGTTCCCTACATTTAGCTCCAAGCTAGCCTTTTGATAGTGTAAGCAAGTMTTTTGTTTAGGATTAAATTAGCCTGTTAATAAGTTCAGCAAACCTTTTGATATTTTATTTTTTAGCTTGAATTTTGTTACTTTCGCAGATTTTTGTTATTTTTAGCTATTTTTATACATTTATCTTTAAGCTAGTGTTTCACTCCTCTGGAAAAGTTTTGACACTTTTGTCCAGCCTTTTGATATTTTAGGTTTTAGCATTTTGACTGCTTTTAGTAGTATTATAAATAAACGTAATTATAGTATTTTACTACATTAGCTTTTAGCCAGTGTTTCACTCCTTCTAGCTTTATGAATTTTTTGGGGGGCTAATTTTATCCAGCCTTTACGTACTTTTAGCTAGCCTTTTACTGTTTTAAATTTTGCTGGCATTTCAACACTTAGCTAGTGTTTTGCTAATTTGCTAGCATTTAGCTAGTCTTTGCTACCTTTAGCCAGGCTTTTGATACTCCTACCTAGCCTTTTGATGCTTTAGCTAACCTTCTGCTATTTTCAGGTTTTTGGTTAGCAGTTAGGCTACTTTTAGTAGTATTAAAAATATAGTAAATATTATATTTGTATTACATCTGGTTTTTAGCTAGTGTTTCACTCCTTCTAGCTTTGTTGTTTTTTTTTGCCACTTTTAGCCAGGCTTTGATACTTTAGCTAGCCTTATGCTATTCTTAAGTTTTTAGTTAGCATCTTGCAACTTAGTTAGCATTTTGGCTACTTTCAGTAGTATTTAAATAAATATAGTAAATATTGTAGTATTTATATTACATTTGGCTTTTAGCTAATGTTTCACTCCTGTTAGCCTTTAGCTTATGTATTGCTTCCATTAGCTTTATCTCAGTTTCAGCTACTTTCAGCAGTCTTTTGGCTCTCAGCTGTGTTTTTGTAGATAATTTCTCGAGTTTTCGTTCCGACATAGGAGGTGTTGAGCTGGTCTGACTCTGACAGTCGAACCAAATCCACTCAAACATTTTTCCCTCCAGTTCCTGAAAAGGAAACCACTCACCGTCCACAACAGACAAACTCTGCAGCTCACCTGTCCTGACGTGGTGTCCAAAGCTGCAGGTAACAAAAAAAACCAAAGTGAGCGCAGCACGCAGCAGACTGCTGGATTCCATGTTGCTTCATGAAAAACAACCTCTCCCTCACCTCATCTTTACAACACCAACATAAAAGCAGCCAAAGGTCACTGCTGGTTCCTCTCACCTGCTCTCAGGTGCACGCATCGGGGGCTGAGATGATTTGTTGCTGAGTCAGTAAATAATAATATCCATCAGCTTTCTTCTCTAAACCCAAATCATAATCCGGGACTTCCTGTTCTGATAAACTCAGCTGACAAAACGGCCGACGTTTTGATGCCTGGCCTGTTCGAAAAGTAAAGAAAAATTTTAAATTAGCTTCTAGTGGCTCGTTAGGGTCACCATGGTAACCACGCACGTTTGTCTGTCACTCCCTGACATAACTTTTAACATGACAGGAAAAAAATGCAGAGTAAAAATAAGTCATGTGTAACTCTATATCATCATAAACATATATAAATACATGCATACAAATATGTATATTAGCTCAAGCGCTGCTAACAAACAAGTTTTTAGTTAATTTTTAAGCTATTGTCCAAAGCTGTACAGAGCTCTCAGCCTTAATCGGAGCATCTAGTAAACATTATCAATTACCCAGAATGCTTTGTGGCATTATTGTGTGAAACACTTCATAACAATTGAGATGATTTTTCTTCTGTACATTTTTTTAGCATCTAACTCCTTTTCTACAATTTTTCTGCTATTTCAACAATTCATATATCAAAACGTTAAGCTGATTTATGACAATCCTGTTATGACTTTTGGTCTTTCAGCTATTTATACTTTTTCAGCTGTTTCACTTTTTCAGCCACTTTGTTGCCACTGAAAATGAATGGAGCTGTTTTCAACATCCTTAAAATAATTTAGAATGTAACTAAATCTTTACTAAACCTTACACTTTTTGTTCTGGTTCTGCTCTTTTTCCCTTTCTTGTGCAAATTTTAGCAACTTTTTTAGCTAATTTTAGCTTTTTTTTCTGCTATTTCAGCTAAAAGTCTGCTTTTTTCTACTTTTTGTTTTACTTATTTTGCTACTTTGTGCTACTTATGCTTCTTACAGATGCTTTGTGCTATATTCAGCTTTTTGCTGCAATTTTAGCTAAAGTTCAGCTGTATTTAGCTAAAGTTATTTGTTTTAAGCTAAATATGTTTTTTGTAGCTATTACAACTTATTTCTACTAAGTTCAGCAAACTTGTGATCCTTGTGTTCTTTAAGCTAATTTTAAAAAATCCAGCTATTTAGCTGTTTTACTTAAAATTTGGTCCATTGTAGCTGTTTACTAAAAATTGGCACGTTTTGTACTCTTATGCTTTTTTTCTGCAAATTTTAAAGTTTTTATAGCATTTTCACCATCTGGGTGTTAATTACAGCTTGTATCTGCTACCTTTAGCTTATTTATGCTAATTGTAGCTTTTTTCTTCTAATGTACCTATAGTTCTGCTTCTTTCTGCTATTTTTCTTTTTGTGCTTTTTTCTGCTAATTTATTTGGATTTGTTTTCTGCTATATTCAGCTATTTTAGCTTGTAGCTGTTTTCTGCTATTTCTATGATATTTTTGCTTTTTTACTGTTTTTCTGCAAAGTTAGGCTTTTTTGCTTCTTTCAGCTTTGCAAACTGAACTCGCATCAACACTTTTGCTATTAAATATTTTAGCTCATTGTCAGCAGCTTTCAGCTTAAGTTCTCAGCATGAAGCATTCACACTATAGCGCCGTCGGTGTGACAATATGTTTTAAAAAATATAAAATCTAAACAGCCTACAGTGTTTTTACAGTCTTTGTTTCAGATTTGAAGTAAATATTTATCATCATGTCTAAAGTTACAGGTCGTGGTTCCCTTTAGTTAGTAAAATAAGGTTTACTAAATAACAGGCCTGATAGCAGCTCTGCAGTTAAAATGTGTTTAAGTGTTAGTGATGGTTAACCCGTCCAGTCTGACCCTCCTGATCTCATCTCCACCTGCGTTCAGCTGTAAAAACCTGATTACTCTGACTCTCCTAACCAGTTTATTTYCCTGATWAGGYCACGGGGTTCACCGGAGGAGCTCGTTAACCTTTGACCTCACTCTTTTCTAACCTGCTGACCTGTTCAAGCAGAGGCAGCGTTGTCGATACGCGCTTAGTGAGGTTAAAGCTCGTGTTTGACGAGAGCAGAGCGTGCCCCTTCGCTCATCGCTGAGCAAACACTGCTATCATGTGGCTGTCGTCAGCTGACAACTTTATGATTAAACTGATGCTGACAGACTGAASGGGCTTTTCAGCTGCTGGGAATTCCACTCAGGCATCTGCTGGGGCAGCTAAGCAGGACCCAGAGCTCCTGTTGTGGATGGTTTAACTCCAGTTGTGCTCACTGGAGCAACAGGCAGCAGGAGCCGAACTCCTCCTCACCCAGTTACTCCCAGTGTGTAGAAATACACATCCAACATGGTGAGTACAACCTGGCTGTTCTACTGCCTCACATGTTGATTATTTAGAGTTATTTACTCACTTTCATGTATTAAATTAGGTTTTATAACAGATTTACTAATCAGATGAATAAATATGTATTATTTTTGTTTGTTAGAAATAATTTCAGCCATTTTTTTTCAGCCAAGATCATGTTGCTGCGTGCGTTTAGGAGGTTTAATCCAGCGCTTGTGAGCTGGTCATCACAGATAAATCAGATTACAGAGTCGCTATGATACCTGATGACGTCACTGATCTTGTTGAGGCTGTGGTGGAGACATCTGCTTGTTGAAATAGTCTCAAACAATCACTGTGGACCTCCTGCATGAAGAGTCCAGATTAGGGGGAAGTTTAAAAACCAGAGTCGGCTGGTTTTCTGCAGCAGGAATGCAGCCGCTCATTGTTTCCAGATGGAGAGGCGTGCAGCCAATCACAGTTTGTGTTTGTGGACCTGCCCCTGTCTGAAACCTGCTGTCCTCTGATCCGTCCTCTCCAGGCGGGTAAGATCCAGAGTCTGACCGAAGAGGAGAGGGCCCACCTGCTCCCTCTGCTGCGCAACGCCCAGTGGGTGGAGGTCGTGGGGCGGGACGCCATTTATAAAGAGTTCATTTTCAAAGACTTCAACCAGGTTCTCATATTTCAGTTCAATTAAACATCTGAACGACTCCGTTTGATGACTCAGCTCTAAATGTTTATGTATTTGTAGGCTTTTGGTTTCATGTCCAGAGTGGCTTTACAGGCTGAGAAGATGGACCATCATCCTGAGTGGTTCAACATCTACAACAAGGTACTAAACTGAGCAGAGAACCGCTGAGTGACAGGCTAAACAGCTGCTGAACGACTGCTGAAATAACAGAGAAAACAGAGTTCCTACAGCTGAAACAAGGTGGCTAAAGGAGCAGAATGTTAGCTGTCACAGAGCTAAAGGCTAGCCAAAATAAAAAGGAGCAAATGCCTAACTAAAAGGCTGACAAATGCTAAAAGAAGCAGCTATATAAAATGCAAAAAATAGCTTAAAGCTAAACCTATAAAAAGGATGGCTAAAMGTTCAAAGAAAAGTAGCTGAAAGAAGTGATAGTCAAGTAGAAAARWYTAATTTAAAGCAAAAAGCTAGGTAAATGCAAAAAATGCAAAAGATTTAAGCAAAAACAGCACTAAAACAAAAAAAAGATATCTAAAGCTTAAAAGAAAAGCAGCTGAAAGAAGTGATAGTCAAGTAGAAAAATATAATTTAAACCAAAAAGCTAGGTCTATGCTAAAAAAATGCTGAATTTCTAAGTTAAAACAGCAAAAGGTAGCTTAAAGTAGGMAAAGATTAGCTAAAAGCAAATTTTGAGGTATATGTTAAAAGAAGTTACAGTCTAGTTAAAAGCTAAAAACTGGAAAAAGTAGCTTAAACTAAAAGTGGGAAATGAGTCATCAACTCTAAAATAGCAAAAGGCTGCTAAAAGATAATAGTAGTAAAAGCCTAGTTCAAGGTAGCTAAAGGTTAATAAAAAAGGCTAGCTGAAAACAACTACCTGTATATCAAAGTGTTAAAAGCTAAAAGTAACAAAAGCCTAGAGGAAATCATCAAAAGACTAGATAAAAGCACAATTAGCAGGATAGTAACTAAATGTAAAAAAAAAAGGCTAGCTAAAAGCTAAAGTTAGCAGAAGGTAGTAACTAGCTAGCAAAAAGACAAAAATTTAAAATATTAAAATAACTGAATCAGAATCGGACTTAATCTTGGTTTGTTCACAAGTTGTAATTATGTAGCAAATATTTTAAAATGCACACAATTATTTGTAAACTGTAAAAAAAAAAATTTACGATATGAGACTCTGGACAAAGACTTSTTTCATGAACCTAAAGCTTTTTGTAGCTACATCATGCCTTTAGCTCTGCCTTTAGCTAGCTACGTTGATCGCTCCCTGCTGTTATTTAATCTCAGCAACACAAACTTCAACAACACTCTTCTACGTTTAATTTAATGTTTGGTTGTGACTAAACCGCCACTTTTCTAATTTCCGGTTTTGGCTAGTTGTGTTACAATGCTAACCGCTAGCTTGAAAGATTTGGTTTTGCTGAGTTACCTGCTTCTATAAGGCGGTCAATAATGTTTTTATCAGTGTCAACTTCATTCAAAAAACACCTAGGTATTCTTACCTTATTGTTGACTTCATAAATATTAATTTTCTTACACGTTTAGTTGTTTAAAAAAAACCTCCATGATGGTGTGCGAGGGGGGAGTGGGCGTGGCTTAGCTTTACTTCCGTGTACTGCGCAGTGCGCATACTCGGGTTCCAAAAATTGTTGGTTCAGTACAAAGTGGATATTGTCTTTTTTATGTAGATTTTGTAAACCTGTCAGTAAAAAGAAAAACATATAGAATTTTTTTATAAAAATAAAGTGAACCAATCCAAAAAAATTAACAGCACCCGTTTATATGGTCTAACTCATTTTATCTGATTATTAAATAAAATCAAAAATGAATTTCATGTTTATGAGTTTTCTGTCTGGTGAAAGATTAAAGTGAAAACTTTTCTGGTTAAAGCAAAGTATCACCTTGTCATGTGACTGTTAACTTTGTTTCCTCTGTTTTAGGTCCAGATTACTCTCAGCACACATGAATGTGGGGGATTATCTCAGCGGGACATCACAATGGCCACCTTCATGGACCAGGCGTCTCTGATGTGAACGAACCATCAGATGACCCGACATGGAAAAATGTGACCACGTGTCTGAAAATCCAAAGAAAACTTTGGTTTCATTGTGATAATTGCGACTGGTCTGTAGTTTTTGGTCTGTGGTGGAAAAACTTAAATTAGCTGAAGAAAATTATAAAATAACTGAATTGGCAACCTTCCAGATGTTTTTACAGAAAACATTAAGTGGTCTTTTTTTTTTTTTTTTTGCCTTAATGAGGGTCGTTATGTGCCAATTGTTTTTCTACGTTAATAAAAAGTTACAGTTTTATTCCCACCGTGAAAAAGCAAAAKCAGATGATGTTTTTGCTTGTTTGTTATCAAAATGGCCTGTGAACAACCGGACACATTTTAATTAAATGTTCAGAAAGTATTACTTCTATCAACACTTTCAACTGATCAGTCAGTCTGAAATTAGAAAACACATAAATGGTTATAACTCAGTCAGTTTTACAGACATTGAACTTACACTCACCGGCCACTTTATTAGGTACACCACGCTAGTAACGGGTTGGACCCCGTTTTGCCTTCAGAACTGCCTCAGTTC